TGTCCTTGAAATTCTCAATTCTTGATAAGAAATGTACTCATTACGTGGCTCATGTAACTGTAGCCCCTCTATACAGTATTTTTACAATAAAAACCTACAATAAAAGAAGTATGTGAAGACGTTATGTGTGGTCACAGGTTCTGTGATAAGCTGGGGCTCTTCATTTCTGATGTGAGCAAAACTCTTTCCAGGGTACTCCAAAATGAAAATTATGGTAAAGAAAACAATTGTAAACTCTGAAGATTTTTTAAATCATTGTAAACAGGCTAAAGGTATCAAAAATGGATAGATACATAGATAGATACATAGATAGATAGATAGATATTATAATCATAGTCTGAGAGTAGAAACTTGAAAATTATTTGTAGTCTTGAGTATGCTGTGTATTATGTTGATGGCCTTGCTTTTTACTAGAGTCTCTGAAAATGGCTTATTTTCTACGTGTGTGTGTGTGTGTGTGTGTGTGTGTGTGTGTATGTGTGTGTGTGTGTATATATATATATATATATGTATGTATATAGAGAGAGTAATATTTGTTTCAAGGATCTACAGCTTTTGCATCATTAAAAGAAACAAGATAGTAAATTTTCATTAAAATGTGCTGTAAAGATATATGTTTCCTAAATAGATCCCTCTTGAATGCACAAATTTCTCATAATACAAACTCAGACTCAAACATAACTCAAGCACAAACTCCACAAACACAAACTCAAGGTTTTAAAAATATTAGCATCTTGTAAGAATGTTTTAAGTCCCTGTTTATCTCCCCAGCACCTAGTCACTCAAATTGCCTGAAAAGTGATACTGGCCTGAAGTTTAAAAGGTCTGGACCACTGACTGGATTGGCATAAATTAAAGAAGAAAGGCTTGTTGAATTTAAACCTTGCAAGAGCAGTCTTGTGCAATGAGCCCTACTCCTTATATTTTCTCTGAATTAAAAAGCCTTACTAGCAGCCAACACTTTTCTTTAAATGCCGACACTTGAACAAGTTCTGACAAAGTATTCCTCATAACTTGTCCTGCTTTCCTTTATAAAGGGCAGAATAAGCTATGGACATCCGGATGCAGGATATTTTAAATCAGTATTTTAATTCATAAAATGTTTGTATACTGGTATATATACAAACTGATTTGAGCCACTGTAGATTTGTGTACTGGGAACTACTCTCCTAGATATGGCTAACTACCTTTGGAAATTATTGATATATAACTCAAACCTCTGTTCCATTCTTTACAAAATTGCAATGCTAAAGTTATCTATTCCATATTCTTGCCATCAAGATTAGAAACATGGTTAGTCTCTGTGCCTGAGACCTAGAAAGTTTTCAACAAATATTAGCTATCATTCTTAATGTTACTATGGGTATACTGTGTGCCAGGCACTGTATGAAGCCTTTGTATAATCACACTGCATGGTCAAAAATGACTTCAGGATAACTATAATTGTCTTTGTTTTGTTTAAGAGACAACTGAGAGAAGAGTCCAAGAAACTAGCTGGTAAAAGCAATGGATCAAACCCAGTCCTCCTCTCCATACATGTTTTATCTAATACATACCAGTCAGTTTAAATTAATGAAATTTTAAAAATGACCTGAATTTCTCAGTTTGACCATCTAGAAGTCAAGTCTCAATATCTGTAATATTGCTAGTAGTTATGATCCACCGAAAATTTCCATCACCACAGTTACATTGAACAGCATTGAAGTCTATGCCATAGTTTCTCTGTTATGTTTTATTCTCAATAGAAAACAGTAATGTCTTACAAAAGATATTAGTAGATGTCTATTGATAAATTACTAAATCTCTATGATAAAGAAAAGGCCTTTGATATAAATAACCATGTCAATAAGAATAGCTAATTTCCTTGTCTTTTCCTTTCTTTCTCTTGTACTCAAGGTTGCTCTCAAGATTTCTCTCTTACTAGGCAAGTACTTCACCACTAGAGCCACACGCCTGTCTTCTGTTTTTCAGAATCTGGTACCTTTGTCTAGGCTGACCTTAAGCCATTCTTCCTTCTACCTTCTCCTGAATAATTGGGATTATAGACATGTGCTATTATGTCTGGCTAGCCATAGCTGATTCTATCCAACAGAATGGAGAAAAGCATAGTATGGATAACATGCCCTTGTATAGATTATCAAAGTGTCCCCAAATTAGAAGAATCCTCACCTGTAGTCTAGGTAACATGTCTTCAAAAATAAGAACTAATGTTAAAAAATCTTAAAATTAATATGAAATAGTCAATTAATTCTCTAACATTTCTTCTACTTCTAGTATTCTGTGTCCTTGATCTCCATCTGAGGCTCAATATACTCAAAACTGTTTTCAATATTTCTTTTAGGTTTCTGAATATACTGAATTTAGGAGTATGCTTTTAAAATAGAAAATGATGACTTCTTCTTTATGCTTGTTACACTTATTATTTGACCCCAGAAAAATTTCTCCTAACTGGGAATAAAATGAGCTTTCTAAATATGTAATAATTATAACGAATTTTGTTGTTGTTTTGTTGTTTTGGCTTGGTTTGTTTTTTGTGCCAATCCTGGAGCTTAAACTCAGAGCCTGACTCTGTCCCTGATCACTTTTGATCAAGGCTAATACTCTACCAATTGAGCCACAGCTCCACTTCTGGCTATTTTTCTTGTTAATTGAAGATGACCATCTCATGGACTTTCCTGCCCAAGCTTGTTTTGAATGATGATCCTCAGATCTCAGCCTCCTGAATAGCTAGAACTACAGGCAAGACCACCCAGCTGCAATCATCTTCTTTTGGATTATTCCAATCCAAATTATTACAATCTGGGGGTTTAAAAATATAATGATCAAATGAGAGTGCAAAGAAAATAGGCAGAGAATTCAATATTCAAAACAAGACTAAATAGACCACTTCTCTGAAGTGTCACTTTCATATAAAGCTAACTCTTGTTCTAGAAGAAATATATGAAGCTAGAGGAATTAGACTTGGAGAACATTGTTCATGTGAAAGAGTAAGTTGAGCATCATGAAAAAAGCATTAGATAGAGATTAAAAGGTCAAATGCCTTGAACATATTTCAATCATATCATATGTCATGGTATTTTACCCAACAACTTTCTTGTCTAAATCCCCTGTAGAAGTCTTTGAAATCTACTGTCCAGCAATAGTGCCTTGTGGACATAGTCTAATTCTGGATTTATTGCGAAGATAAATCAACACATAATTTCTGAGTAGCTGATACATTCCAATACAAAGAACGTACTTACAACACCACCCCTCTTCTTCCCCAAAACCAGTTACCATAGCTTGACTATCCTGAAACCTTCATTATTTATTATTGCTTCAGGTAATTTTCTCTGATCTTAACTCAACATGCTCCATGTTCTACCACGCTTCCCTTTGCCAAGGTAACCTAGTTACCATTGTCCCTCGTCCCACCAGGGACAAAGGAATTGAAACTCAAAATTAAGAAACCATCTGGATAGCAGTTTGACTTCCTGAGGCAATATAGTCAAACACTAAGAATGTAGAATGTGTTTAATACTCCAAAATGTTAGCATTGTTTAAGCCTATCAACACAGCTAGAAGGAAGACGTAAATTATAGTTTGCAGTTTAATTTGGAAATTCTGGCTCTTGTGGAAATTTTGGCAATACGGGCATCAATAGCCTAATTATGTCTTACAAATACACACTCCTACTTGCTATTGAAAATTTCCTCAGCCAACTACCTGGTGGGAGAGTAAGAAATGGCTCTCTGTCTCTAAATTCATCTTATCATGACTTATGCTAATATCTCACAGCTAAAAAAAATTCTATCCTGGGCTGACAACAGAAGAAATGATTTCCAGTCCACACATACTGCAAGAAACACTGACACCATAATTCACTCTTACCCTGGAGGCTTTGGGGTGAGTTTCCATAAGATGGGATATTCCCCAGTTAGAAAAGTAAAGCCTTGTTCAAGATGATATTGACTATATATTCTTATTCTGACACTTGTTAGAAAGGTTTGCTGACTTGACAATTTCCTTCCCAAAACAGGAAGAAATCAAATAAAGCAGCTAGTGTTATCTGTCTCCTGGACACAGTTGTTAGCATCTGCCTTGTTTCCCTTAGAAAATTACTATTTTCCCGCGGCGCCAAAGTTTTAAAGTTCATTTTTCAACATAACATCTTGGGGTAGGGGTGGGGGGACAGGAGTGGGGCAGGGGGATGGGAAGGGATGGGAAGGGGAAACAAAGGAGGAGGCAACAATGCTTGATAAGAAATGTACTTATTACCTTGCCCATGTAATTGTAACCCCGCTGTATGGTATTTTCACAATAAAAAAGAAAAAATAAAATTACTATTTCCTCAATGTTATACTCCTTTTAGGAGATCCTAATTTGCAAACCAATTATACTTTGCACTTGTTTTCTGTTTTCTCATGTGAATACTTTTGTGAGCATTTAGAAACCTAGAATGAGAGAGCTAAAGGAAGACATTTGACTTTATCTCTTTCTGCACTTCCATTTAAGGGTATATGTATCCAAGAAATATATTCTTATATTTCCTTCCTATGGCTAGGAACAGCTTCATCTCCAAGATAGCCTCTAAATCAGGTGAAATAAAAAGAACTGCGACTTCCCTTTCTCCCAAGGATAAGAATATTCTGTTTTAGTCAAACATTTTAATTGGAGTTGGACAAACACATAGTATTAAATCTGATATCTCAGGGCTAATTCTGAGAAGGTTTTAGGCAAAGAAATCTTAAGAAATCTTACAAATCAAGAGCCATTTAAAAGCTAAAAACCATTCCCACAATAAATGGTACATATGGGGAAAACAGTTATAAACCAGACACATATTTGGGTTAGAGGCATAGATGTATGGATCCAAGATGTCAGGCATGCCTGAAATGACTAGCACTTAGTTAACTCACTGATTGATCAATGATTAGCTCTAATGAATTAAACCCTTTGCGAAGGTTATTGCTTTGTGTAAAAACAACATAACCCCATCTCTTTTATTATTTCATCCACAGAATGCCAGTATTGGAGCTCAGAGCTCCAACTGCCTACTTTGAATTTTGAAGACGTCTTGAAAAATGATAAGCAAGCATACCATTGGCTCTCCAGCCTCAAGAAAGTAGGCATTGTACGACTCACTGGAGCAGCTGACAAGCAAGGAGAAATTATGAAACTTGGGAAAAGGATTGGATTCCTCTATCTCACATTTTATGGGTGAGTCACCTGATGGTTTATAGTCCCATCACAGTCACAGTTTTTTATATTTCCCAGAGGGAGGTCCTCTTTTGAAGGAAGGTGCAGAAATGTCCACGATGTCTTTAGTGAAAGCCACATGGAAAAGGGAGTCTAAAAATGGTGTTTGAGAATACACAGACCTTTTTTTTCATCTTTAGTAGTTGTATAAAGGAGTTGCCATTCTACAAAGCAGTTTATGAATACAGTGCATCTCAATCAATGTCACCCCATTCATCATTGTCCTCCACCCCTCCCAATCCCACCTTTTCCTTCAATTGGCTTAATTTTGTAGAATATGTGTTGAATTTTATGACTGTTTTTCTCCTCTACTCCTTCTCTGCTGAGAATTTTAGGATCTGGCTAGTTACAAGTGGTGCATTAGGCTGCTCAGGCTGTCAAGATAAAATGATACACGGGAGTCCAACATCAGGGTGACATTTGTTTCCTAGCTTAAAGTAACTGCCTTCAAATGTACCTATACAGTCATCTCTCTGTGTGCAGCAAACTGCCATCTCTTCCTCTTCCTGTTCTTGTTGAATTAGGATCCCACCTTTTAAACTTCATTTACCATTAACTACTACTTTAAAGGACCTGTTCGCAACACACGAGGGTTAATTTTGCTCATAGCAGATAAGATAGAAGATTCTGTTGCTTTAACAGTCTTTAAAAGCATGTCTTAAGGTTTTTTTTAAGTTTTATTTCTCAAGAGTTAACACAAAGTTAGATTCTGGTGAATTAAAACTAGCCACAAGATGTGTTAAGATAAAACTAATGTGTAGACATTTGAGCCTGTGAGCTTTACTAATGATAAATATAATTAATTTTTACTATGTAAAAATAGTTTTATAAAATTTCCTAGGAAATAGCATTCGAAATCCACATTATTAGCAACAGAAAGCATTTTTCTTGAAGTGAGGGGTACAACTGAATTTCTCATCACTAAGGTGAGTGCCTCATGAAAGGTGGATCCAATTACCAGCAAATACAGGAATTGAAAAGGACCATCAAAATCTAAAGTTTGCACATGAGCTGGTGGCACATGAGCTGTTTTGAGATGTCTTTGCTTTGGCTCACATAATGTTGAAAGAAAATGGAATTCTTTGCCAGCACTTAAAAACTGTGAGATTTTAAATTTATATGGATTTTCTTTTTCTTGAAAACTCAAGACTTACAACAACTGAATAGCTGGCCTAAAACCTAGCATGTCAAATATTTGTTAGACATAAGGATAGGAGTGCCTTAAAGTGTTTGTCTAAGTCCTCTTCTCAACCCCAAAACTGCAAGGATCTTGTGAACATTTGCGTTTGCCATCCCTAATCTAGCACAAGACCTTGTCATGGATAAACAAAAATCAAGAATGTTCAATTACTTGCCCTCAATAGTTTGCACACTTTTTTATTTGTTTGTTTTTGTTTTTCTTTTTTCATGTCAGAAGATTTAGACCTGGACAATTCAATCCTCACCCCCTCCCTAAGAATTTACTTATACCATATTTAACATATTTGCCTTCCAGAAAAAGTATGTCCTTCCAGAAAAAGTATGTTTGCAAGAAGTAGTGGTGCTTGAGAATTTATAACAATAAATAAATAGAAGGGAAATAATTGAAATTATTAATAGCCATTGGTGTAATATGTGTTAATTCTTCTAAGATCTCTGAAATAGATTTTAGCCTCCAGTTCATTAAAGAATCGCAAGCCCAATGAATTTATTTGCAACTCAAGTTCTGGCAAATATTAATAATGGAATTAAAATATATAAATCCAAGCTTGTCTGTCACTATTTCATATTTCACTATCAAAAATGAGAGGTACCTGAAAAGATGCTTTCAGATACTGGAATTAAAAATTAAATTCCTCTAAATTGTTTTATAGCTTTCATAAACCAGTAATAAACTTTTAGCATCTATTCTAGATACTTCACAATTTCAAAACAGTGATCAATCTTGAAAGCTCTTTTGGGAAGTTTCCTAACTCCGCCCACTTACCCACTCATCTTACTTTCTGGATCCTAATCCAAATTTATGATTTGTCTTGTGTTTGTTTTGTTTCTGCAAGTCCCATAAAAGGGTTTACTAACTTGGCCAAAGATCTAGTATTGTGACATTTATTGCAATCAATACTGAAGTTCTGTTGTCAAAACAAACCAAAACCTACTAATACATATCCACTTCTTTTATCCAAGACCTTTCCCATCTAAGTGAAGTTGTTTCTACCCTATCTTGCTTGCCTCAAAAAAATCACATTTTTTCCAGAATCTCACAAATGATATATGTCAAGAAATACATTTTTGACATCTGACCTCTATTTTCACCAAAAATTCCTCCATGTGTTTGTCCATATTTAATCCCCTACTTTGAAGACTTGAAGAAAAGAATTTGACAGTGATTGCTGTTGTTTTGAGCTAAATAAATATTTTCTCTGAAGTTCTCTCTCTTTTCTACTTTTTCTCTCACAAATGTGAGAGTGTGATATTAATGGTTGGGTGATGTGAAAGTTAAAGGAATATTCAGGAGTATCCTCTCCTATTCAAAAGAACACTTACAAAAGCACATCACAATTTGGGTTGCACATTGGAATAAGATATTTTAAAATATATAGACATCTAGGTGCTTTCTTCGGAGATGTTTCTTTAATAGAAATTGTAAATGACCTGAGCAGCAGGACTTCAAACCTGGCAAGTGAGTCTCATAAGCAGCCAAAGTTGAGAATCACTGGTTTAGAGGAAGGACTACTTCAACACGAGCTGATTTCAATTTCAGTAGAACTTGGGTGATTAAAAGCTTCGGAACTCTCATAAATACATACATTTTTAGAACTTTGTTCCTTTTTCTATGTTTTCATGTCTGGATCTGACTTTTCTTCAAAAGAGAAACAGTAGCTACTTTAAACCATGTCCCTATCTTTCTGATTACTATTTTTCCATTAACAATGTGTCTTTCTCTTGTTTGAAAAATAATTGATGAGTGAGTAAAATGAGTAAAGACAGACAATAAATAATGGAGAGGGATTTCCAAAAATGCAAGAGGTATAGGGAAAGAAAACTGGTAACAAGTTAAACTCTATTTTTTATTAAGATTTGTCAAGGAATTTTGCGGAGGATCTTGCTTCCACGTCAAAATCAAGAATAGTTTGTTGGTGGTACCACTTCAGAGTGGTGGTACCCCTCTCTGGAAATGAATACCTACTAAACCAGCACTTTTCCCCTCACATAAAGTTTCTAATTTGGAAATTTTAAAATGCATGTATCTAAAATAAGAAATAAGAATATCTATGTTCAGTTATTAGTTGGCATATCAATGGTTAAGTGGTTGGTTGGAAGAACAAAACACAATAAATTCCAACAATTCATGCAGTCTTCATAGATAGTAGAAAGGCATAAATGTTTAATGACTAAATTCCTGTCTAGATTTTCTTAAAGACAAACAAACAGCAGACATTATTATTATGACATTTCATAATTATAAACTTATGTGTAACTAAATCAAAATGGTAATCAACTTGGGGAGAAACGTACACGTCATTTTCCACGTCTGCATTTTTTCAGATACTTGTCATTATTTTGTCAGCACATCATCTACACGGTTTGTTGTTGTTGTTGTCATTGTTATTGTTGTACATGTGTGTGTGTGCTCAGACATGAGAAATGCTCAGTAAGCTTAATGCATTGATGATGAAAGCTAAGGATGGAAAAAATAAAACACCACTGGACCTGCAATTTTATCAAATATATATATATATATATACATATTTATATGCATACATATGTATATATAGAGAGAGAGAGAGAAAGAAGAAAGAGAGATAGAAAGCAAGATGTAACAAGATGACTTTTTAGCATGATATTAACCTTTGAATGAAGCCAAAGAGATTCATTCTTCTCTCACCAAATAGTAATAGTAATAGTAGTGGTGGTGGTGGTAGTAGTAGTAGTAGTAGTAGTAGTAACAATGGTAATTAGTAGTGAAATAACTTGCTGGAACCCTTTAAGGAAAGGTGATAATGTTGAATAAATTATCAGAATTTTATGACCTGGTTTCGTTCAATGAGAAAATCATTGTAAGCTATGCCTGCATATTGCTATTTGCAATGATGATATCCCATTGGAATGTTTTCAAGTATGTATTCTACAGAATAAATCCCAAAGAAACTACAATTGCTGCCAATAAAAGAACATGTCAAAATTGAATAACAGTATTACAAGGCACTCTGCCTAGCATTTTGTTCTACACTGACTTGAGATTCTATTTTACAGGGAATTATCTTTAATGACTGGTATATACGGATAAATATGAATACACAAAAGTCAGTTTCCTCTCAATAAGCTAGACCAATAAAAAATTCCATTAAAATCCAGGAGCAGAGGAAACACAAACCACAGATATTTGACATTACAAGTGGAGTAACAGAGTAATCAACAACTGCCCTCCATAATTCAAAGGGCCTGAGTGCTCTTCCAACATAGTACGAAGTATAGTCAAATGGGATCATGTGCAACTATAAATTTACCTTTAGTAGAACCAATTCCAATCCCTCTAAATTTATATATGCTACATAAAGCAAAAAGTTATGACATGAATAATATTTTTAGTTAAGATTCTGAAATGCCCTATTTGCTATCTCAAGCTAAACCATTTTTACTACATACCATTCTTCTCCATTCACAGCATGAGTTAGTGAAACTGAAACTCATTGTCCTTTGTGCTAATGAGCTCCTTTTTGGTAAAAAAAAAAAAAAAAATTGTAGCCAACACAGGATTATATCTTCAGTACTAGCTCATCCAAAGAGAGCCCCCATGAGAAAGCTCTATATAATCCCTTTCAAGGTTGTTTAGTCAGGACTGACTCATCTCTTCCTATATCCCCTTTTATCTGCATGCATCTCCCTTGCTTTTTTATCTCCTAACTTTTTATCCTGTTGACAGGCAATGCATATTAAATCTTTCTGTTTGTGGCTGTTTTTATGGCTTTTCTTGCCTTGCT